AAAAACCAAAAGCAAAACCAACCAACCAACGAACCAACCAACCAAACAAAAAAACACAATAAACTGTGCTGAAGGGTCCAAGTGGTATTGTTAGGAGGGCAGTTAAGAGCCAGAAGGAGAGACATTACCTCAGCCAGGCCTCACCACCTGAAGGACATCCCCAGGATCTCCCAGACCTCTTGGTGCAGTCTCTAGATGCAAATTAGAATCCTGGAAGAAAAATGTCCAAAGCCCTGGTCCCCTTGGGCTGAGGCTGTACCCCAGACTGAATTTGCTTGGCATCGTTTGCTCTCTAGTACTGTTAACTGAACTTGATTCTGTGAGCAAGGGGCTCTTTGCCTCTTTTCCCAATGTGGCCATTGAGAATAAATCTTTTTTTTTTTTAACTGTTAATTTGACAGTTTTAATTGGCTTCTCAAGGACAACTTGCCTTCTTGAGGGTACAGACGTGGGACCCAAGTTAGTTCAATAGTACCTCAAAAAACAAAAAACAATAGTACCTCTCATTAACTCACCTGAGATCTAGGGAGTGAGAGTTCCTGGTAAGGAGGCCTAAGGCACTAAAATTTCAGGAAGGCTCAGGGACATGCTTAATGACTAACCAAGATCCCCAGTAGTGAAGTTGAACTCCTTTAATCTAGTACCCAGGAGGCAGAGGCAGGTGGATTCCCTGTGAGTTCGAGGCAAGTCTGCTCTACATAGCAAATTCCAGCCTAGCCGGGGCTACCTAGTAAGACACTGTCTCAAAAATGAATGAATGAATGAATGAATGAATGAATGAATGAATGAATGGATTCAGGACCGGGGACCTAGAAAATCTAAAGTTTGAGTTTCAAGGCAGCAAGGCCTTGAGTACTTATCATACAATACTCCATGAACATCAAATGTTCTAATCATCTAATTTATCGGAGGACAAGAAAACCGGCCCAATAAAACAGATATAATGATTATTCCTGCTTTGCAGATAAGGAAACAGGTACAGAGATAATGTGGAACTTGGTCAAGAGCAAGAGGGCCTCTAAGAAGAGGTGGGTTTCAGGTGACCAGGTTGTTAAGGACGGTGTAGGTGTAGAAGGACACGGTCCAGGCGGTGGTGGCACATGTCTTTAATCCCAGCACTTGGGAGGCAGAGGCAGGTGGATCTCAGTGAGTTCGAGACCAGCCTGGTCTTGTAGAGAGTTCCAGGACAGCAAAGACTGTTACACAGGGAAACCCTGTCTTGAAAAACTGAAGGAAAAAAAAAAGAAGAACACGGTGTTACTCGTCTCGGCCATTCCTACGTGACAGAGGCCAGAGCCTGGATGCCAGGGTGTTGGTCCCAAGTGACGACAGAGTGCAGCCCTAAGAAAACAGCCTTTTTTTTTTTTTTGTCTTCTGCTGATTCTCTGGGTCCATCAGAGATGATCTCTCAAACCCCGAGGTCCTGCTGCAGTCAGAGAAACCATTTGGCAGAACAAGGAGGAAACAGCTGCCTGGGTGCCCCGGGAAGAGAACACTCCCCTGCCCTTCACATTCCCCCGTGTGAGGCCACCCTTACCCCTTTTACCCTGTCACACCACCTTCCCATTTGTTCAGTCGCCGGAAGCAGGGCCCGGGAGGGTGTGGTGTGAGTGTGCACCAGGGGAGGGTGTTCCCTGGGGAAGGAAACGTTCCCGGAAAGCGGAGACTGGGAAAAAGGGAAGAACTGGCAGTAGAACTGGGTGGTCCTGCTAAAAGCCAAAGAGGGGCTGGGTGTGGCGGTGCACACCTTTAATTCCACCACTTTGGACTTTGGATCCAGCCTGGTCACTAAGTGAGTTCCAGACCAGCCAGATTTAAATGGGGGAGATCCTGTCTTAAAAACAAAAATACAGAGGAGGAGTTCTGCTGACCAGAAGGAACCCAGGAAGGCTGAAACAGGAGGATCACGAGTTTGTAGCTAGCCTGAGCTATCTAGGGGAAGGCAGGAAGGAGGCCCAAGATATCCACATACAGAACAGGATCTTCTCCCAGTGTTTAGGACACATTACATTGCATGAAGGCAGGAGTACATAAACCCACAAACATCGAAATCTCCTGGAAGGACAGCCTCTATGGGGTTGGCCTCAAACTCACAGGGATCCATTCCTGGACCCCTGTGTACTTTTACTCTCTGCTTTAATCTCCGTATTATTTAAAGTGTTGGTTATTTAAGGACAATGCCGGTCCAAAACGATGGCTTTTGTTAGAAGCATTTGCTTTGCCAACCGGATGACCTGCGTTCCATCCCAGGAACCCACAACGAGCTGGATGTGGTGGCATTCATCTGTAACCCCAGCGCTCCTGCAGAGAGCTGAGAAGCAGGGACCGGAGAAGCTGGAAGGCCAGCAAGCCTAGATAGAGTAGGCAAAGCCGAGCACGGACTCCGGAAACTTGTCCTTTGACCTCTACACTCTTGCATGCCAGGCATGCGTGCAGGCCTCACAAACACAGCACACACACATAAATAATTCTTTTGTTTTGTTTTTCAAGAGGGCGTCTTTGTATAGCCTCGGCGGCAGTTCTAGAACTCGCTCTGTAGACCAGGCTGGCCTCAGATTCACAGAGATCTACCTGCCTCTGCTTCCTGAGTGCTGGGATCCAAGGCGGGCACTACCACTGCCCAGCTAGGCAGCATTTGAACACCAATGTAACTGGTCTCCCTCCCTCTACCCACACAGTGCTAGTGCTACAAGTGTGCACCCCCACACCTAGTTACACGTGAAAGCAATGCCACTGCCCATCCCCCACCTGAAAGACATCCTGGGGCCTCTCAGAGCCCCTCAATGCCCCAGCTAGAAAACGTGAACAAAATCTAGTCATTCTCAAATCTGGGTGCAAATTACATTCATAAGGAATAGTGTCCAAAAACCACTGGGATTCAATCCAAGGTTTTGTGCATGCTAAGCAAGCACTCTACTATGGTGAAATAATTTTTTTTTTAACTTTTATTTTATGTATGTGTTTTGCCTGCATGTACGTCTGTGCACCACTTGTGTGCCCAGCTTTTAGAGACCAGAAGAGGGCATCAGATCCTGTGATGGGAAATTACTGAGAGTTACTGGCTGTCATGTGGGCAGAAAATTGAACCTGGGTCCTCTGGAAGAGCAGCCCGTGCTCTTAACTACTAAGCCATCTCTCCAAACCCCATCTACTATGATGAAATAGACCTTACAAAGGGAAGCATCCAAACTGAGGCTGCACCCTGGGACCATCATGCAGAGTTGACACCCCATAGGACATTCTCAAGGTCTTCAGCTGAGAATCATAGCTCCATTATGTCCCCCAGAGTTGCTTCTCAGACATCCTTCCATAGGTGATCTCCTACCGACTGTCTCACCTTCGTGTCCCAAGAAGGTTCTGGATTCCAGAAGGCAGATTTGCGAGCTGCAGGCTCCAACAGAGGAGAGATGACAGCTTTGTGGGAAAGGGGAAAATAGCCCAGACGGTCAGAACCTAAGACCGGAAATATAAAAAAAGCTAGAGTAGGGGGCTTGCTTATAGCATCACACGAAGGAGACACTCCTCCAATAAGGAGCGACTGATTCAGCAAGCACATGACCTGGGCCAACAGCAAAAGCCGCAGTGTTGGGCTCTAAGAGGACTGGCTGGTAACTGGGTGGTTTCTCTTATTTATGTTTTCTCCTATCTTTGATTCAGAAACAGTAAGGCATCCTGCTCCCGGAGCAGAGGCTAAGGAGACTGAGAACTCAGTGAGATGGCCAGTTCTCACCCTCACTAAATCTTCCTTTCCTCCTCTTGACAACGGAATTGACGGTGAGAGCTAAATGCACTAATAAAGCCAAGTGCTCAGCCATGCACCTGGCACACACAGTGTGTGGTAACTGCCAGCTTTAGAGTTGGAAGTACAAGACCCCAGGCCGTTACGGACCTCACCTACCATCTGAGGGAGGAAAGTGACTAAGCTAAGCAGCTCATCAGTGTTCACACACAGATGTGGTCTCTGAGAATAAAAGTCATCCAGGGGCCTATGCTCGTCTCAAATCTAATAGTGACTGGGCTATGATTTATTCAAAAATTTATTCAAAAATAGTTCATTGGTAAAGCACTTGCCCAGCATGCACAAGGTCCTGGGCTT